GAACAGGGTATAGGGTTACAGCCTGTGTTGGACGGGGTCGCACTCCCCCTGAAGACACAGGTTCGCAGCTTGGGTGTGACTCTGGATTCTTCGCTAAGCTTGGAACCCCAGGTTTCAGCGGTCTCCAGAGGAGCATTTGCACAGCTTCGGCTTGTGCGCCAGCTGCGCCCGTATCTTGGGAAGTCTGACTTGGCCACGGTAGTCCACGCTCTTGTCACATCCCGTATAGATTACTGCAACGCGCTCTACGTGGGGTTGCCCTTGAAGACTGCCCGGAAGCTTCAGATGGTCCAGCGTTCGGCAGCCAGGTTGTTAACGGGAGCGGCACTCAGGGAGCACACCCCTCTGTTGAGCCAGCTCCACTGGCTGCCAATTTGCTACCGGGCACAATTCAAGGTGCTGGCGTTAGCCTACAAAGCCCTAAATGGTTCCGGCCCCACTTACCTCTCCGAACGCATCTCCACCTATGAACCGGCGAGGTTGTTAAGATCGTCTGGAGAGGCCCTGCTCTCGGTCCCGCCAGCGTCACAGGTGCGGCTGGCGGGAACGAGGGACAGGGCCTTCTCAGTGGTGGCCCCCCGGCTATGGAATGCCCTACCAGCGGACATCAGGCAGGCCCCTTCGCTATTGGCGTTTAGGAGGAGGGTTAAGACGTGGCTCTTCGAACAGGCGTTCGGATAAATATGCAATAACAACTGACTCAGGAATGACGGCACATTGAACAAGGAATGGTAATACGACTGTGAGATCGAGATCTGATTCTAATGAGGCGTGATGATTTTTATGTGTATTGTTTGTGTATGTTTGTTATATAGATTGTTCAGTGTTGCACATTTTATTGTAAACCGCTTTGAGTCGCCTTTTTAGGCTGATATTTGCGGTATACAAAAGAAGTAAATAAATAAATAAATGAATGAATACTTTTTAAACATTTAAAAGCATTAAAAGGTTCTTTTATTTTATTCACAATGAAACAGAGTATACCACAGAGCAACACAGAGAAAGAAAGTAGACACACAGACTATATCTATATTGGGTACACAAACAAAAGGGGAATTATATTTTCACTCAACATCCACACACATAAAACATTCACACAAATATTACCACCTTTTCTTCCTTCTCCTGGAAAGAGACCTTGAAGGAGGCCAGATTGCATTCCCAGCAAATCTCCCATTGTGCACTCTTTCCATCCCTTGGAAAAGAGTGGTGTGTGGACTAGACTCCTCAAGTCTGCCACAATTTTGGAGTAGTAGAGTGTCTCTTATGTAGCAATATTTCTGCTAATGTTGTTCCAAAAAGTTGTTTTCTAGCGAAGACCTACGAATTCCATCAGTTCCTGAACAGATGTTAGCTTTTCTTAACTGATTTTGGTTTTCCTTCTTAAGGAGCATTTTTTGCTTCCTTCTTAATGTCTGGAACCTTGTAAACACTTCCTTAACTTAAAGAATCATTGTTGATGGTAATGTAAACATCTTGTTTTCCACCAAGGGTTAATCATTTGTCTCTGGTCATCAGCAGTTCTCATTAGCAACTTTTAATTACATTTTTGTAGTTTTCCAGGCTTCAATCTTAGGATGGCATCTCTAACCTTTATAGACCACAACCGGTATGACTGCATAAAACGTCATTACCTTCCCGCCGGAGCATTACTTATTGATCGACTCACATTTGCATGTTTTTGAACTGCTAGGTTGGCAGAAGCTGGGGCCGACAGCGGGAGCTCATGCCGCTGCCTGGATTCGAACCTACGACCTTTCAGTCAACAAGTTCAGCAGCTCAATGCTTTAACCCACTACGCCACCAGGGGCTCCTTATTCAAACCATACAACATATATTATTCATGACACATACATATACATTGTACTCCTTTGGCAGGATCCTTTGTGTTTACTTGTTTTATTGTAATGTGCCATGAACGTTTGATTTTGCTATATAAACAATGTTGTTGATGATGATTATATAAATTGCTCAACAGAATGTAATTGTCATGATTCCTCCTGAGATTCAGAATGCCTTCATGGACTTCAAGCATGCATACAAGGCCTTGGGTTTTCTTCCACTTATAGGAGGCTGTAAATAAATTGTCAGCTAACTGTCCCTCTAAAAACTCAAACAGACCACTTTAGATATGCATGCATGTCAAGGTTTTAAATAGGAACATGGCTTTTATTTTTAATACGTGTGTCTATGTGTGTGCATGGAAACCAGACACTTGTCTCTTCTCCAGCAGGCTGGTATGCAAGGCATGTCCTCCTATCGCTAGCCCCATCTCGCCTCTGCACCTGCCAGTTCTTGAGTTATGGCATTTTCGTATGTAGAAATTTAATAAGGTTAAGCCACACTGTTATAGAATAAGCTGATACTTGGCTGGGGGATTAAAGCAGTTTTATGCATGCCCAGTGGGGGAAACTAGAGTTACACTGGAGACCAAAGGCATACTGATAATGATGTCGCTTTGTTGTTGTGTTGTTTCAGTGGCCATCATCAAAGAGCAAAATTAAAACAGGGCCTTCCCTTATGCTGCGGTTGTAATATGCCAGATTTTGTCTCCACCAAGATTAGGGAATGATACAAGTATTAATCTAATTATTCTGAAAATAGTATTTCTAAACAGAACATTGATCTGCGAGGCTGAAACTGTATGGCCATAGCCACTGTTTAATATTTGAAGACCAATGTCATGTGCAAAGTCTGATATTATGAATCAACAATCCTTTTTGCAGTTTTTCAGCATTTTTGTTTGAATGACTGATTCCTGCAGCAAACTGGACTCAGTGGTTTTGCTAAGAATGGAAGATATTTTATTATTGTTGTGGGCCTTCAAGTCATTTCCATGTTATGGCGATCCTAAAGCAAACATCTCAGAGAGTTTTCTTGGGAAGATTTGTTTGGGGGGGCCTTTGCTATCTGCAGAGACTGAGGGTCCTTCCACACAGCCATATAACCCAAAATATCAAGGCAGATAACCCACAATATCTACTTTGAACTGGATTAACTAGGGCCCTTTCGGCTTTGAACTGGAATATATTGCAGTGTGGACCCAGGACCCTTCCACACTGCCCTATATCACAGAATATCAAGACAGAAAATCCCAAATTATCTGAGTGTGGACTCAGATAACCCAGCTCAAAGCAGATATTTTGGATTATAGGACTGTGTGGAAGGGCCCTAAATTCACACTGCCATATAATCCAGTTCAATGTGGATTTTATACAGCTGTGTGGAAGGGGCCTGAGAGAATGTGGCTTGCTAAGGTCACCCTATGCTGGTCTTTGTATCCAGTTTGTGACTGTTGAGCTATACTACAGCCCCATGAAATTTTACACACACACACACATATATATCCTTCCACTTTCCCCAGCATCATTGTCTTCTCTAAGCTTTCCTTTCTTCTCATGATGTGGCCAAAGTACTTCATCTTGGCCTCTACTATTCTTCCCTCCAATGAACAGTCAGGTTTTATTTCTTGAAGTATGGACTGGTTGGATCTTCTCGCTGTCCAAGGAAGCGAAAAAGGAAGAGGGGCCGACCAAGGGCAAGGTGGATGGATGGTATCCTTGAAGCGACTGGATTGACCTTGAAGGAGCTGGGGGTGGTGACGACCGACAGAGAGCTCTGGTGTGGGCTGGTCCATGAAGTTACGAAGAGTCCGAAACGACTGAACAAATGAACAACAACTCTTTCTCTCTCTCTCTCTCTCTCTCTCTATATATATATATATATATATATCAATTTCGGAATAGAATTCCACTAGCTATTTACCAATGTGTAAGGCCGCTTATAAATTCAGTTTGGCATATTCACTCCAATCTGGTCCTTAAAATATTCTGTTCACACTTCTTTGTAAGATGATCCTTGTCGATTTCCTGAGAAATTATTACTTCTGAATGTTCTCCATTGCAGGGGGAGAGGAGCTAGAAAAACTACTCTATAGATTGTCATTGCTGTTCATACATACTTCCATTATGTTGACTTATGTGTGACAAAAGAGAAGCTAAAGGATCTTTGTCTATTGTAGGGAGAGACAAAGTGAAGCCCATGGACTGCATGCGGGTCTCCAGGACCACTTTTGTTGCCACCAGGGCTCCCCAGAAGCTATTGTTTAATATTTTTGAAGTCCTCGCAAATGGTCTTTAATGGATGTGGGGATATTTGTACTGCATCTGGAACCTTCTAGACCAGGGGTCCTCAAACCTTTTAAACAGAGGGCCAGGTCACAGTCCCTCAAACTGTCGGAGGGCTGGATTATAATGTGAAAAAAACACGAAGGAATTCCTACACTGCACATATCTTATTTGTAGTGCAAAAAAAAAACCCCCCACACTTAAAAACAACACAATAATTCAAATGAAGAACAATATCAACAAATATAAACTTATTAGTATTTCAGTGGGAAGTGTGGGCCTACTTTTGGCTGATGAGATAGGGTTGTTGTTGTTGTTATTGTGTGCTTTCAGGTTGACCCTGAGCAAGGGCCAGGTAATGACCTTGGAGGCCCATATTTGGCCCCCGAGCCTTAGTTTGAGGACCCCTGCTCTAGACCGCCCCTCCGCAGTCAAGATTATATCTTGCAGAATTTTTCAAAATAATTCCCACAAAATCCCTCATTGTGTCTAGGAATATGCAGAAACATGCCCCTGGATCTGATGGAGAACATGCCCCTTAACCTTTCAAAGTTGTCCAAAGTAGCAGTAGCAAAGGATAGGACTGATTGCTCACTTACTGCCTGGGACCTCTTTCTCTGTTGATGATTGACAAATGCATCGGTGGATCAAAGTTATGAAAGCACTTTGTTTTCAAAGCAATTTTTAGTGAATCATTTTGAAAAATCTACCTCTTCTCCCAACTCCCTATTAAATTAAACCAAATTCCCCCAAGACAATCCTTTTTTTCATAAAACTTTATTGTATGGAATACAACATTTAGTGAAAATAAATTAAGACTTCAATTATGTTTTGATTGGGATTTGAACCGAATAAAGAAAATTTCCAGCCATACACTGACCACATGGATTTATTGCCAGATACCCCAGACCCTTCTTCTGCAAACATTGCTTTCATGGTGGACAAAATGGAGGGAGGGGTAGAGTTGTGGGCTTGACAGGTGTGGTGGTGTAGTCCTTCTCATGGGCCTCAGCAAGTATTTTCACTGGGAAATGTAAAAATTCATTTGGTGTCTCAAACCGTTGGCTTTAGAAAGTGGAGCAGTTGGAAGGCATATATTACAGTCCTTTTGGATTCCAGGGTGACAGTACTGGATGGAGTTGTGATTTCCTCGATTTTTCACCAGTCTCAAATGCCTGCTGATCTTGTTCTGTCAAAAATCAAAGATAAATGACATCTGATTTTGTATTTTAGTATATGGTCAGTGAATTTTATACCCACGTCAAGTAATGGCTCACTCAGATGTTAATCAGAGGTGAGCAGAGGATGCTGCATGGGAAAACTGTGGGAGAACGCACTCCTTTCACTCAGGGCCCTTCCACACAGTCATATAACTCAGAATATTAAGGCAGAAAATCCCACAATATCTGCTTTGAATTGGGTTATCTGAGTCCACACTGTCATATATCCCAGTTCAAAGCAGATAATGTGGGATTTATTCAGCTGTGTGAAAGGGGTCTCTGTTTGATGTACTATCATTTTAGAAGTATGAGAACTGCAGCTAATAAGAACTTCCTCAGGGACAATCTTACTTGGTCTGGAGTTTCTCAGATCATTTCATTGGACCATACAAATACTCAAGCATTTATCTTGAGATCACTTGACAATATACAGGTTGAGTATCCCTTATCCAAAGTGCTTAGGACCAGAAGTGGTTTGGATTCCTGATTTCTTTTTTGGATTTCGGGATTCCTATATTTGCATGTATGTCACATGCAACCCCTGGAATGATTCCATCAGCGCTGCCTCCGAAAAATCCTGCAAATCTCTTGGGAAGACAGGCAGACAAATGTCAGCATGCTGGAAGAAGCAAAGACCATCAGCATTGAAGCGATGGTACTCCGCCATCAACTCCGCGGGGCCGGCCACGTTGTCTGGATGCCCGACCACCATCTCCCAAAGCAGTTGCTCTACTCTGAACTCAAGAATGGAAAACGGAATATTGGAGGACAGGAAAGAGATTTAAAGATGGGCTCAAAGCCAACCTTAAAAACTCTGGCATAGACATTGAGAACTGGGAAGCCCTGGCCCTTGAGTGCTCCAGCTGGAGGTCAGCTGTGACCAGCAGTGCTGTAGAATTTGAAGAGGCAAGAATGGAGGGCGAAAGAGAGAAACGTGCCAAGACAACCCTGACCGGGACCGCCTTCCACCTGGAAACCAATGCCCTCACTGTGGGAGAAGATGCAGATCAAGAAGAGGGCTCCACAGTCACTTACGGACCCACCGCCACCACACTACACTTGGAGGACGATCATCCTTGGACTACGAGGGATTGCCTAAGTAAGTAAGTAGGTATGTATGTATGTACATAATGAGATATCTTGGAGATGGGACCCAAGTCTAAGCACAAATATACTGATGTTTCATATAAAGAATACGTCAATAATTTTGTGCATGAAACAAATTTGGTGTATATTCAATCATAAAAAAGCAAAGGTGTCATATCTCAGCCACTCACTTGGATGGTAATTCTTGGAATTCAGAATTACTGATAAGGGATACTCAAGCTATATAATGTCGTATATTTATTCCAGGATCCAGAGAGGCTGTTCAGATGACTGAACTACTTCTCAACGTGGAACCCTGTCAGGGGGGAGAGGAGGCAATGTTCCTTTATTGTCAGCACGACCACATCCCTGTCCACCCTCATAATCTGCTTTAGGGGGTTTGGAAACCCTCCAAGATATTTTTTAGACAGCACAGAAGACTGCAGGATGGACTTGAAGAAAGGTCTGATATGCTGGTAGACAGGTGCTAGCACAATGTGGGATTTGGGCCAAACATGGCAGTATGTTTGCCTCATTTATTTAGCAAGTCATGGCTCATATTGATCATGTTACGGTGGCCACTAATCTATCAGGCAACATCAAAGGGCAAGACAGGAAGCCAGGCCATTTTGCTGGTTCTGCTGCTGGATCAGCTATTCTTGGCTCCTAACCTCCCTAAACTATTTCCATTTGCTAGCTGCATTAAAAGACAAGTTAAAATATGTCCACAAGAGGAACTTACCAAGTTGTTCATCTGGAGAATTCCATTTAGATAGACATGATGTGCTTCACAAATGCTGTGGAAAAACACAGAACCGACATCATTTTAGAAGAAACAAGTGGGACCTTTCAACAAAATATTGCAATGTGGATACTCCATTCAATTCTCTCCCCCTCTTTCTTGTTTTGCTTTTTCCAAAATAGGCAGCCAGTTTTTTGTTTTTTTTTTTTTTGGTCTTCTGTGGGGGGTGATAAGAACTCTAGTTCATTATCTGCATTTGTTCATCCAGATCCAATGTGGTCATGGAAACCCACTGGTTGGCCTTGCACAAGCATCACACCTAAGAAAACTTTGTGATAGGGTCATTTTAGCGTTGTCCTAAGTTAAAAATGACTGGGAAGCACACAACAACACAACAAAAATTCATTCTAAAACAAGTGTGATAGAAGTAATCCAAGACCAGATGTAAAAGCAAAAAAAAAATGCAACCATACTACTGGTGGGGGAGAGGTGACTGGGATTTTAGCACTCAGAAGATGATATTTCATCCTTTTCCCTCCTGGGCCGTTTCCCCAATTGAAACCCTCCTTACCCAAAGTACTACTGGACCCATTACAGATCTCCCTTCTCTAGCATGACTTCAATCCAACCCCACCCTACCCAATTGTCCCAGGTGTTGTTTTTCACTAGTGACTACTGGTGTTTACCTTCATAGTTAATGCAGCCATTGGAATCTTCCTGTCCCTTCATCAGTTCTTCTACTTCTTCTTCCTTCATCTTCTCACCTGAAGCACAGAAGGGGAAAATAGTAATTCTAGCTCACAGACTTCCATAAGCTGTATATTTTCTTACGTGCCATCTCATTGTGTGCTGCCAACACTCAAAGGGGGAAAAATCTACAAAGAAGAATCATCTTATTGTTTTGCTTAATGGAATGACCCAATCCTGCTTTCAGCACCTGAGGTCCCTTCTACACAGCCGTATATACCAGAATATCAAAATGGAAAATCCCACAATATCTACTTTGAACTGGGTTATCTGAATCTACACTTAGATAATATGGGATTTTCTGTCTTGATATTCTGGGATATAGGGCTGTGTGGAAGGGTCTTGAGATGAATTTCAGCGTTTCAGAGATCTAACCATTGTTGATGGTGCAAGCAACTGCTGTGAACTCAAGGCTCCTTTAAGAGGTGAGATGGAAGGAGCAAGCCAAAAAAAAAAAAGATTGGACTTCCATATAGCATTTGCAGAATGATGATTGAGTCAATAACGGCTGACCACACCGGCGGATGGTGATGAATTTGTGATTTTACTCTGACGACCTGGCTTTTGTAATTGTCTGATCTGTATTTTAATGTGTTTTTGTATTAATGTATTATGATGCTATTTCTGGTAAATTTCCAGAAAATAAATGTCCAGAAAATAAAGAAACAGTGGTAGCCAGTGGCATAAATATTGAGGTAATGGGGTGGGGGATTATTGTTTCCCACCTATATAGTATAGCATAGGAAACAGTGGTGAAAGTACTATTCCTGAAACCTTGGCAAACCCATGTTCTTCCACTCTTCAAATTTTAACAGAGTAGTATGGGATGCTGACACACAGAATGTTTCTTTACTAACATATGCGGTTTTAGAGCTCTCATATAGCGCACCCCGAGGTAATATTTAAGCCTTTTTAATGTATAAGCACGGACCTTCAGTGAACTGTAAGGTGGTATAACACAAAATTCTCACTTGTTCCTCCCAATGAACTTAGGACTCAACTACACATGATCAGTTTAAGTTAAAGCAATTATCGCACTAACTCATTCCACAAATTTATTCTCACAATTCTTTCAGTACTTAAATTTCTTTTTCACCTTTGAAATAACACTTAGATATAAATCATGCTAGAGACTGTAGAGGCCAACTGGTTCAATGACTATTCTTCTGTCTGGACATTTCTAGCAATGTTATTATCTATTTTTATTCCATGCTTACACTTTTAAAAGGCTCCATCAAGTTGCATTCTTTTGGGTGAATGGAAGGTAATCTGGGAAGGCTATTTCTGCTGGAGAAGTAGTTTGACCAAACTACAGTTTTCATACTTATTTGTCCAAGGAACTTTTTTGGGTTACAACTCCCAGGATCCCAGCCAGCAGCAAAGGCTTGAGAGTTTGGCTGATGGTTTAAGCCAGGATTCCTCAAACTATGGCCCGGGGGCCGGATACGGCCCTCCAAGATTATTTACCTGGTCCTCGCTCAGGGTCAACCTAAGTCTGAATGACTTGAAAGCACACAACAACAACAACAATCCTATCTCATCAGCCAAAAGCAGGCCCACACTTCCCGTTGTAATACTAATAAGTTTCTATTTGTTAAAATTGTTCTTCATTTTAATTATTGTGTTGCTTTTAAGTGTTTTTGCACTACAAATAAGATATGTGCAGTATGCATAGGAATTCATTCAAATTATAATCTGGCCCTCCAATAGTTTCAGGGACTGCGACCTGGCCCTCTGTTTAAAAGGTTTGAGGACCCCTGGTTTAAGCTCTCATAGACAAACACAGAGTATAAATCTATAGCATGAGTTCATCCTTCACAAGCTTCTGTATTCTTACCCAGAGTGGCCAGTACGTGGCGGAGTTCAGCACCCATGACTGTGCCGTTGCCCTCCTTGTCAAAGACACGCAAACCTTCAACGAAGTCTTCAAAGCCACCCTGGTCTTTGTTGTTGGCAGCTGCCTGCAACATTGGCAGGAACTCATCAAATCCAATTTTCTTTGCATTCATCTCTGCAACGAAACAATATTACCAGGTACATTTGGCGATATTTCCAGGCATTCCACTTCTGAAGTGCCAAGCTGCCAATCTGAAAAACACGGCCACACTCACAACCACCCCTCCATTAGAAACTGAACCTTCTGCCTTGGCTCTCAAATTGGGATAAACATAAAAGTCTTTGCTTGTTGCTGTATCTGTCTCCAGACGATACTACATTCACGAGAAAGTGGTAAATCTACATTCAATTAGGGGAAACAGGTTTTACACAGATCTTAATTTAATGGTTGTCACACACAGCTCCATCTCCAGATAAACAAAGCAACACAATGGGTTGCCTTACTAGTCTTCTAGTTTGATAGGAACATATTGCAGGGAGAATTGAAACGTCTGAGCTTTGCATTTTTAGTATCTTACTTTATTGTGCACCATCTAATCCAAACAAGAAGAACTTTCATTTAAATTTATGAATAAATTATCTTTTATAAATGCAAATATTACATTTCCTATTTTCTCAGAATATAAAGCAATGTTTATATAGTTATCATGTGATGCACTAACCAAACTACCATAAATTCAATAAATTAACAATAATATGTGCCTTCTCTGACACATTCTTAAATCGTTTCTGTTAAACTCATCAGAAATTAAAAGTACCAATATTTAATATGTGCCAGATGAAAGGGCATGGGCCTATACAACTACAAAGATCATTACATACTTTTATAATATAGTTCATAATATTTATTTATTAATTATTATTATTATTATTATTATTATTATTATTTTAAACACAACAAGATGAGTCCACAGCAGACAAGATCACTCTGCTGGCTGTTGTATTGGATTACACGTTGGACGCTTCCCAAGTGTCTAGGACTGTGTGATGCGTGCAGATCCTAGTAAGGTGGCCTTTTGCAACTGGCAGATGGTAATTTTGTCAGTGCTGATTGTGTTTAAGTGTAGGCCAAGGTCTTTAAGCACTGCACCCAATGTGCTGATCACCACTGGGACCACCTTGACTGTCTTGTGCCAGAGTCTTTGCAGTTCGATCTTTAAATCCTCATATCGTGTCAGCTTTTCCAGTTGTTTCTCTTTATTATTATTATTATTATTATTATTATTATTATTATTATTAATTGAATCTCTTCTGAAGGGTACTTAAAGCAGCTTAACATGAAAGCATTAGCATGCAGTTTAAAATATACTAATATGCAAACATTAAAAGAGGATTAAATATAAACATTATTAAAAGTTCCCAGTTAAAAGCCATTAAAACATAGAACCCCTTATCCATGGATTCAGTATCCATGGTTTCACTTATCCATATTCCTTTACTGAAGTGTTTGTAGGCCTCCTTAGGTCCTACAGTGCAATTCTATGATATGCCTCCAGCCCAAGTGTAGGGTTCATTATTATCCACAATTTTGGGTAACCATAAGGGGCCTTGGAATATTTTCCAATCAATATGGGACTCATACTATCTATTGTTAATCAATGTTTGTAAAAATATAGTAAAAACACAAAAATAAATAACTTACTGGCAAATGTGTTGGTGACATTGACATTACACATTTATGTAGAAGACTGATTCCTCTGTGTTTAAGTTAGTGTACAAATGATCCTTTAGATTTTTTTCCAAAGTATATATCACCAAACACTCCGGCACAGTGATGATCTTTAGTCGACTAGAGTGGTTCACACATTATGCTTGTGTGGTTCGAGCTTGAACAGTCCTCCATATGACAAATCCCACCAATTATCAATGATAGTACATATACCCAGCAAAAGGAGGACACATTCAGAACAGTGAACAGAACACAGAGTAATCTTTACCCTCGTTGCTGGGGTTGCCCAAGATCTTCTTGACCTCAGCATTTGTGGGGTTCTGGCCCAGAGCCCGAATGACATCTCCAACCTGACTGAGAGAGATCTTGCTTTCCCCAGTCCTGTCGAAGAGGAGGAATGCCTCCTTAAAGTCTAGAAGAATGGAAAGACAAGGGTTACCCGAAAGGAGACAGACTCTCTGTCTTCATACCAATGATCATGCTTCACAAGGTGCCAGAGGGCCAGTACCATGGAGATATGTTTACTACCATGTTGCAATGCATCAGAGAAAGTGACGGCACCCCCGAGACATTAAGGAATTTATTAACGAGGCCGGCAAGTTGCAATTACAGCAGAACAACTGTGCCTTTGACTGAGACTTATCCTATGATGTTACTATTTACTGGCTGCCTTCCTGATGGAAGACAGCCTAGAAAGTGTTTATTTTACAAACACAAATAATCCATTAATGACCTCCTTTTGGAAAAGTAACACATTCTAATGGTTTCCCACCAAGAAAACAACAGAAGATGAATGAGTCCTGCTGTTATCCTACTGTAATTGCAATCCTCCTGCCTCAAGTGATGTGGCCCTAAGAGAAGATACCCTGGTACTGTCCCTCAAGTGTGATGGCACCATAGAACAAACCAATATATCTCATCATGAAAGTAATTACAAAAACTGGGGTGAAAATGCCAATGAACCTTGCAACCATGATGTACTGTATAAGGCATGGTAGGTGTTGCTGGTAATATGTATTGCTTATAGCAACACAGGTGGATCCAAAGCAGCTAGACCAGTGGTCCTATCTTTTACAATTGGTGGCAGTGGGGGGATACATTTTAATAAATTACAGTATGCCTTTTAAATGGTTGTGTTCTGTTCTCATGTTACACTGTACAAAGTCCTCAAAATGCTTATGAATAGCTATATATTATATATATATAACTGTGACACTTGCTATATATATATATATATATATATATATATATATATATATATATTAAACAGTGTCACAGTTTGTTTACTTTCTCCTATAGCAGTGGTTCTCAATCTGTACATCCACAGATGTTTTGCCCTTCAACTCCCAGAAACCCTAACAGCTGGTAAACTGGCTGGGATTTCTGGGAGTTGTAGGCCAAAACACCTGGGAACCCACAGGTTGAGAACCACTAAGCTAGACCTATCTTCAGGCAAATCACAGGCAGATCAATCAGGTAGCTATCCCCAATAACACACTATTAATACAAAATGATGAAAACTAGCATGTAAATAATAGTAATTTTAATCATCTGTTTATCTTTCCTCATTCAGTTATCACTTTGGCCCTGATGAAAGCCCATATTGCCAGTTGCACACAAGCCTATTAAATGCACATTTTATCCTCCTATTGCTCCTATGTTTAGCTGCATATTAGAATACTGCCTGGTTGAGAAGATGGGGTGGGGGATATATAACCTGCCAGCTGAAAATTTCAGGTATTGTGTCTTGATATTTAAAAATAAGTTGAGAGACAATGAAACTATGATATTTGATTCCTATGGAAAAGCAAGATACTCCTCCAGAAAAGAACGACAACTTATTCTGGTACTTCTTTACCAATATTTAGAGTGGTTTAAAAGTTATTACCTTTGTCACACCTTCATTACTACCTTCTTTTCTATGATTTTTTAAAAAAAAGTCTTAAGATCCCTGAGCATGGTCTGTCAACATACACTAGTTTGAAATATAAGAGCACAAGATTTGCCCTGTTGGATCAGATCAAATACTTAATCGGTTCTCCTTTCAGACTCTGACCGAACAGTTGCTGATAGGAAGCCCACAAGTGGAAAATATCTTCCTATACACCAATTTGGAATTTGTCCCAAAGCCAAAATACACTCAGCAGACCAATAGATATCACTGCTGTTACTGCCGTGAGGTATCCATAGAATCAGAAAGTCCATGTGATGAATTATGCACTCTTCGTTCACTCCCCACCCCACTCTGGGTACTTCTGAAGCGGTACTATTTTGGTGCTAACTCCAGCCCTCCTTATATTGCCCGAAGGAGCTTCTGAGCAGGCTTTAAAATGCTGAGGTTGCTAGATGGTAACCTAATATACCTTATGTGACTTCCCCTCACTGTCTAATGTGTTGAGATCTACGAGACAGGGCTACCGATAGCCCTCTCCCCTTACAGCTCATAAAGTTGTGGCCTTTTAGAGTTGTGGAGGGGAGACTGAGACATATTTAAAGGCTCACAGCTGATGTTTCCACATTGGCTGCGAAGAACAGAACTTCACTCATTTACACCACTGAAAATCTCATCACTAACTCTTGAAACTTTTTGCTTTCTTTTAAAAACAACAATCATGAATTATAATTCATCAATGCTAGTTCCTTATCTTCTAACTACTGCAAAAGAGGCATCAGTTTCCCCATATAAACTGGTGCCAAGCTGACTAGGCTGCAACTCCAAACAAAATCAGCTCCAGTGTAAATACTAATACATATTTATCCATAATAGCAGGCAGAGCAGTTACAGTGGTCTCTCATACCTCAAGCTGCCTTTACTCACTTTACATCACTATAATCATCACAGCCAAAGAAAAGACTGACTTTTTTTTGCTTTCTGCTTCAAACAGTGGCATTACAACTACTTGTGTTCTTCCCCTGCTGTATGCAAACTACTGACAGAGCTAAAATTGCTTTTAGAGTGGAACTGGAATTCTCTTTGCAGGAAAAGGGGTCTCAATTTTCTGATCCAGAAATAAAATTCCAACTATTTTTGGAGAGTGGAGCTGTTGCTAGAGTTTGATATTACAACTTTTGCTATTAAAATTGAAAGTGATGACAACTGAAGGTAATTTTTCTTTTGTGATGATACAATTATAATTTGGACAGAGAATAGTATGACTATTCTGTATGGTTATATGTAAACATTTAGAAATTTTGTTGGCATGTCAAAGTACTACAGCCTGTACCAAGTCTACGGGTGACTTAGCAGACCATTCTAGCATTCTAGCAATGTCTTTTAGGGCCCTTCCACACAGCCATATAATCCAGAAAATCAAGGCAGATAGTCCACAATATCTGCTTTGAACTGGATTATCTGAGTCTACACTGCCATATAAGCCAGCTGAATATGGATTTTATACAGCTGTGTGGAAGGGGCCTTAATCAGAAATGTGTGGTTCCTGAATATTTCTAAAGGAAGTTAGAAAACAGAAGATGGATATTTGTATTTCAAATATTAATTTGATAGTGTTGATTATTATATGCTGCAAAAGAGAATGAGAAATCAAGTCATATCTACTAAATGCGCCACTTATGTATCTACACAAAAGAAACAATTAATCGTGACACATGTAAGTGTTACAATGGATGTCCAAGTTGTAGCATGTTGAGACATAACACGTGAAAAATGGCAATCCCAGTAGATTTTATTAATGCCTGCTGACATTCACTAAATCTTAAATATTATTTGATGTTTATATCTTAAACATTTTTAATATATTGTCGAAGGCTTTCATGGCCGGTATCACTAGGTTGTTGTAAGTTTGTCTGGGCTATATGGCCATGTTCTAGAGGCATCTAATGCCTCTAGAACATGGCTATATAGCCAGGAAAAACCTACAACAACCTGTTTTAATATAGATAATAAATACCTATTTATTATCTATACTGAAACACATATTTACCAAATCAATTCCAGACTTTTGATACTTGTTTTACATTGCTTTCACTAGCACATGAGGTGTGACATGATGTGTTAGAAAAATTTGTATGATAGGATTGCTCACTAGATTTCTGTCTTTGCAAAAATTCTTAGGAACTGACAAGTAGTCAAAATTATTATCCTAATGGATTAATTGATTGTTCACATAAAAGCTATATTATAATAGTTTTAGGATATTAATTTCTTGTATGACAAAAAATGTGCAAGAATTGTGAGCAACACACTGGTTACAGCAAAGCAACCAACCTCTAATTCCCTTTAATGCGTAAGACCTAATCATTACATATTACAGTCTTACTTAGATCATTTGTCCATGTATTATTTTTCCAACAAAATGCTTCGAGGGAAAAGTTAGTTGGTGTGGTTGTTGAACCGCCTCAAATTTATCATGTATCTATAAACTAGAAATATTTTAGGTATTTTTTGTCTTTCTGTTTTCCTTCTGAATTATTATAGCTTTCAGCTCCTTTCTGTTATCCATGATTTTATAGCACTTTGAAGAATAATTTGTCTGCTATCACTGCATTTACTATTTTCATGCACTCAGCAGCAGACTGTGGAAATTAGAATCCATGGCCTTATCTTGAAAGGAAACAAGGCTGTATGTTTCAATTCAAATCAAGTAACTTTCAATCAGCAGAGATCTTCCGGCCCCATTTTACATGGTAATGCATCAGTAGGTATTTACTAGGTGTCTCCAAAACTTACCATCCTGCTGGTCCTTGGAGAATTCGATCTGTTAGAAAGAAATCAATCACAAAAAAGCCCCCTTTAAAAAAAAGACTTGTTGAAAGTTGCAGCATCCCGCTTGCTCCCTGAAAGATCTTTCCAAGATGCAAAGAAAAAAGATTGTCTGATTTTTCGAGAGGAGCAGAGATGCCATCAAGCTGGGAAACGGGATGATGCCTACTCAAGCGAAATGAGCATTCAACATTTGATGTGTGCAAGTCATCAGACCAATACGCAGAGAATTGAATTCAAATTCCACTTACCGGCAATCTGATCAGCACTGAATGACTACATATGGCAAAGAGAGAGGGAGAAAGAGGAGAAAAGAAAAGAAAAAAAGCTAGTACTGTTGGAAAAATTGCATTGACAGAGAAAAGTTATTCGTATCCTTTAGCTAATGCCTTTCTAAATGATTTAACTAGGCCATGAACACTCTCTATTGGCACCTAACTGTCATCAATGTCAAAAGTTTTAAAATCCTGCTATAATATCTCTCAGTTTACAGACAGAAGCAACAATACATACAAATGCATAACATGATCTTTAACCTGAAGAGAAAAATATATTTTAGAGAAATATTCTACTGCATGACACTTGAGATCGTAAAATAATTAAAAATGGCACTGCACAAATAATTATTTTTTTCAACAAATCATAAAGTATTAAATCTAGACTATACTCGACTGACAGTAAACCACACTGAATTCTGTAGCATTTATTTCTAAGTAGTCATTCATAATGTTAAAGACCTGCTTATCCTACAGAGGTATAATTTAGCCTTAGTTTACAGACAAGTTATGCACCTGGATAACTGTGGACAGATATTTTAGCAAATAGAAATCACAGACTATTGGTAATATATTTACATACTACACCAATATAAAACTGTGCTCAAAATTTACCCACATAATCCCAACACATTAACATGAAAACCCATTACATATATATTATATTATATTATATTATATTATATTATATTATATTATATTATATTATATTATACAGACACAGATGCCTCACACTAAACTGAGTGCTAAATTAGTTTCCTGCTCATTTTACACTCTTGTAACCAGCACAAATTTGGAAAATACAATGTGAAAGGAAACCACAGCTAGCTCTCTAAACAGAATGTAATTTTCTCATGAACCCACCATGATGGAGAAAGTTGGATGGAAAGAGGAGGAACACCACCAAGGCCAGCGGAAAGTGCCGCAAGGTGTCCAAGTCCCTGAGAGTGGTCCTGCTTGCCTGGCCTTTGGTCTTCTTATTTAGCTGGACACGGTCGTGATGTCATGGGAAGGATTAAGTGTCAGAGGGCAGTAGCCACTCCCCCCTTGAAGTTCTTTAACTTTCTTAGGGCAAAGGGAAAGAAGGATCCATTTCTTGATGGACCTCTTGCTGGGGCTATTTTTAGGAGGCTGGAGAGAGGACAGGGAGCTGCTTCCCAGAGCCCGAAAACTTGTCAGCACTTTTTTCCGGTCTGCAATATAGAGGTGGAATAGCCCTTATGTAGTCTTTCTTGAAGCTTCTCTTTTGAAGAGGATGCTTGTTGGCGGAAGGGGCAATTTGAGTCAGTGAGAGGGGAGAGAGCAGCTCCATGCATATCTCCAAGCTCAGTTGGCCTGGTTGAAAATTTCCATGTTGGTTTGACATCTCTGGTATTGAGAAAGAATGTCTTTTTTAAGACAGAGGATTTAGAAACTTAATCCCAGGATTATTCCATATCAATCAAACTCTCCTCCTTCCTTTTTGTCAGTGTGGGCTACTCTCCAACTAAGCCAATACATGGGAGTAAAGCATTTTTTTAAACCTGTTTGACACTAACATGGTAATTAAAAAAATCTAGTTTCCCTGATCGATGTACTGCAGTATTCCTACCATGTCCAATATATTGCCTAAGCTTTGCAAATATAATTGGAAATCTCAATGTATTTGAGGGCAAATGTGTGTTCTCTGCTGCTCCACAGGACAGAACTGGGACTTGAATCACAGGAAAATATATTTAGGAGAAAAAAAGGTCATAAATAACTGTTTGCCATTGGAATTGATTCCCAAATAGAGCAGTGGCCTCACTGGAAGTCTCACCACATATTTGTGAAGGATACTGACTCTGGATTTCTTGCGCTCATTAGAAGGTATGGATAATAGGGCTGGGCGGTTTCGTTTCGTTAATTCGTAATTCGTTAATAATTCGTTAATTTTTTCAATTACAAAACGATAACGAACCATTCTGGAGCAATTATTAAAAAAAACGAATTTTCAAAAACGTTTTGTAAATGCTTCGTATTTCGATATTGTATTCGTTTCGTTATTGTTTTGAGGTCATTTCGTTATTATTTCCGCATGTCTGGGCCAGTTTTATGGTTTAATTAGTGAAAAAAAATTATAATATCACACCAACAGTCAACAACAGAGGGAGAGGGAAGCTTCAGAAGGTTTTGGAGGTTTTTTAGCGTATTTCGCGGTCGCGTCCGCCATTAACGAATCGATTCGTTATTGTTTCGGAAATCGTTTCATTAAATTTTTACCATTTACGAAATTTCGTAAATATCGAACTTTTTAAAAGGAAAATTTTGTAATTATTTTAAATATCGAAACAAAAAACCCCCCAAATACAAATCGATTTTAGAAACAAATTTTTCCGTTGTTACCCAGGCCTAATGGATAAGATTGACTCTTTATGAGGATGTCAAATTTGGCCTGATTTACATATTGATTTTTGACATAGTAAAAAAAATGTACGATTATTTTGTCACTTTCGATTGGCATGGTAAGTGTGTGTGTGTTAGTTATATACCACATAAGAGGTGATATTTTCCACCAAAGCAAACTCCACCACACTCAGTAAGATGTAATTCGGTCAATTGACATCATCCAAGCATGGTCTATGGATGGAAATTTATGGGCATGGAGTGAGCCACTACTTTTTTTTGACTTGTCAACTTAAGAAATGGATCAAACTGAAAAGATATGGTTTAAACGATTTATGTGTTTTCTGTTGAGTTAAACGTGATAATCTGAATTATTCCCAACTAACCCCATCACACCTTTTTATAGTTTTAGATAGGTTAACACCTTTTCATTATAACTGAAAGATTAAAAAAACATATAGCTCACATATATTTCAGAAACTGAGGTACTGATACTTCATGACAGGAAGAAGTCTATCCTTATGATTTAAAACAGAAAGCCAAGAAGATGGTGCAGTGATATGGCTGAGTAATTTAAGACTCTCAGTTTAATGGACCTATGCATACACACATATCACTGTAAATGATAGCATGTATTATTTCTTCCTATTCTTCAAGATGTAGTGCTTTTGGTGGCTGTCATATTCATTCTCTAAGGCATGGCTTAAGTTTTTTGCCTTATGATAGCACTCGAGACAGGAACACAGAACTGAATGGTGTCCCTCTATATGGTGATGGATTTGCCTGTTATCCACGGGTTCAATATTCATGGTTTCACTTACCCAAACTCCAAAAAAAATTTCCCAAGAAGTATCTGTGGCTCTTTTTAGGTCCTCCAGTGCATTTCTATGGCATGCTTCCAGCCAAGTATAGTCCAGATGAATGGTTCTCAACCTGTGGGTCTCAAGATGTTTTGGCCTCCACCTCCAAGAAATCCAGCCAGTTTACCAGCTGTTAGAATTTCTGGGAATTGAAGGCCAAAACATCTGGGGACCCACAGGTTGAGAACCACTGGTCTAGACATAGGGTTCACTATAGACCATCTGCATCACCATAAAATGCGTGATATGGTCAGTGTAGACTTGAGCAATGCAATTTAACTGCAGTGAACTGCATTATATCAGTCTACACTGACTATATAATGTAGTTTCAATCTGCATTACATTGCAGCGTATATGCAGCTTACTCTGCACAGTTTAGATATCCATGAGGGTATTGGTCTTGGAATGTATCCTCCATGGATACAGGGATTATGCTATATTTACCATGACGCATGGGTCTTATAGTCATCATACATTTCCATTAACTATAAAATCAAAGCACATATCTCTATTATTCAGGCTTGAAGACAAGCAGAACAACTCTTAACTCCAATAAAAATATTTCAAAATTGTTAATTTTCACTTACTGTATATACTCGAGTATAAGCCCAGTTTTTCAGCCCTTTTTTAGGCTGAAAAAGCCCCTCTCGGCTTATACTCGAGTCAAGGTTATTTATTACTTTACTCTGTTATTATTATTAACATTATTACATGTATTTTTATTCTATTTATTATTATTATTATTATTATTATTATTATTATTATTATTACATTTATAATTTAACTTTATTATTATTGTATTATTACATTTATTATTTTACTCCATTATTATTATATATTTTATTTTACTCTATTATTATTGTTATTATTACATTTCCATTATTTTACTCTATTATTATTATTATTATTACATTTATTATTTTACTCTATTAATATTATTATTGGAAGGACACGGAAGCACATTTACATTGAAGAAGGTTAGAATAATGGTTTAATCAGAGTTGGGCAGTCTTATCTAAAATTACAGTTTTATGTAAATATTCAGAAACATTTAACCTACGGATACCTCAACTAATGTAATTTTATTGGTATCTATTTTTATTTTGAAATATACCAGTAGCTGCTGCATTTCCCACCCTTGGCTTATACTCGAGTCTATATGTTTTCCTGTTTTTTTATGGTAAAGTTAGATGTCTTGGCTTATATTCGGGCTTATACTCGAGTATATATGGTATCTTAACGGTCAAGCAAAACAAACCCTATGTTGACTGGACTTCCTTTACTGTGCTTAGAGAGCTAATACAACAGTACTGTAAATTGCTTCAAAATGATATAAAGTAGGTTCTGAGTATCCTCCTAAATGAATTGTCATCACCATAGTAAAATGTGAAGCTTGCAGTAAGGGCTGGTTATGTTCCATATTATGTCTTTTTATTTTGATTCAGTTACTCAACTAGTGGTTTCCATTGTTTATAATTATTCCCATTTAAAAAATG